CCACTGCATGCAGCCTGCCCTCTGCCAGCCATGGGGAGGCAGATGGAAGGGCACAGGGCTGGGSCCAGGCACCAAGGGGTGAGGCGTGGGTGTCCTGGGCTGTTGGAGGAGGGCAGGAGCTCCCACCTGGAGGCTGGGCACTCACACTGAAAGGCAGCATACCCGGAGCTGAAGAGGGGCGCGAAGAGCCCAKACCAGGAGGAGGAGGAGCTGGGTCAAAGCCGTTCACTGCCCTGTGGAGCGACCATAGCAGAGAGAGGGAGGGAAGGGAAAGAGAAAGAGAGACTGTCATTTAAAAGTACTCCACACACAATAAGAAATTAATTTGCTTTCTCTTTCTCTAACTAGTCCTCACCTGGCCTACAGTACAATCCTGACAGCCCAAGGATGAGTGGCATCCCAAAAAGCATCAGTTGGCCAGATAATTGAGAGTACATTTTTAGTCTGGGATACCCAGACCCACATTGACCCACCTGAGCAACTTTGTCACACTGACCACTGCAGCCACAGTCCTGATTTTTTCCCCACAGACCAGATCTAAATGACTGGCAATAGTGAACTAGTTAAATAAATGATTGTACGACAACACAATGAAATATCATACACATTCTTCAAGTTTTTTAATAGCATGGGAAAATATTTAGAATGTACTTAATGCTAAATGGAAAATGCCTATGCTCCATGATCTTAAGAAAACAATATATAACCTAGATTCTACAGTGTTGTGGCTCTTATGTACACAAATAGAGAATGTGTGGATTCTATATACACATACATTATATATGCACATACATATACATACATGTATTAATATATCACAGAAGTAGAATTTAACAATCATTACCTTTCTTCCCTCTGAATACTAAGTAAATTTTGTTTACTACTTTATACTTAATTATTCTCCAAATCTCTTATAAATAATAAGACAGAAAAAAAATAACTTCTTAAAAATTGTTTAGCAAGCAAAGTCAATTGGGTAGGCTTTTCTTTGCAGACTCATACAAGGACCCCAGCCCCCGACAAGCACCAGCCCCCACACCCAGCAAGGTCAAGAGCCCCCAGCCCCACCACCTGGCAGCACAGCCACAGGAAGCAGTAAGGAAGGAATGGAGGGAGGGGCCTAAAACCTCTCTCAGGAGGTTACTTCAGCCTTTTCTGTCCTGAAAAACTTCCAAAGAGAATCTGTCCCACTAGCAACTGCAGGGAGACAGCCAACTGCAAGGGGCTGCACTGTGCCTCACCTGCCTACCACTACCCTCCACTTGCTTATAGAATGGGTCCAGGAGCTGACCCAGGGAGCTGGAGAGAGAAGGAAGGGGTGGGAGGTGTTACAAATTCCTCCCATAGACTACAGTTTTTCATCCTCTGAAGAAGCAACTATAATCTCAGAGAAACAGGCATATAGAGACTTGACAAAGAACCTGTGACTACTCTGAAGAATCAGAGTTTGTACCTCAAGAAAAACACAACCCAGCAAGCACATGCCTATAATCCCAGTGGCTTGGAAGGCTGAGGAAGGAGGATCGAAAGTTCAAAGCCAGCCTCAGCAATGGCAAGGTGCTAAACAACTCAGTGAGACCCTGTCTCTAAATAAAATAYAAAATAGGGCTGAGGATGTGGCTCAATGGTTGAGTGCCTCTGAGTTCAATCCTCAGTACCCCTCCCCCCCCAAAAAAAAATCAAACACATTTGGAATCTGAAATCAAGCCACACACAAAAGAAACTAAGAACAATGGATGGGAAGCTCCGATGAATGTGACTTCACTCTGTTGTATAATGTTCTACTTCAGTGATAGACAGCCTGAATTTTCCCTTTTCTTTTTGGGATAAGGGAAGTCTGATTTTTGAGCTTCATCACTTAGAAACTTTAAATCATCTTTCCTCATTCTCCCAAGATTACATGCCTATGTTGTTACTGAGGCTGGGGGCCACATCCTATGTCGTTGTAACAGTCATCTAATAAGGCCATCTGTCATTTGTCTGGTTAGTCTCAGTATCCCCGATTCCTGGCTCCTCCTAGAAACCTCAAGAAGAACAAGACAAAAGGCCTCAGCTTCCAACATGTGACTTAGTTTCCTGGCATCACAAATCACTGTGATGGGCCAGCTTTACTACAGATAGCCACCAAATCTCAGCAGAGAGGGAACACTGTGGGTTGCCAAGAAGAATCTGGCACCTGGTCTATAGGACAYACAAAAGCAGCAACCACGAGAGTGGGTCCTTGCAGGTTGGGAGGTAGGTTTCCAGCAGTTTCATGTTAGATGGACTTTTAAAGAAATATCAAGTTTATCTCCATTTTATAGAGCTAAGGAAACMAAACAGAAGGTATAATCATGAACTCAAGCTCACCCAGTGAGTTGTGGGGAAGCTGGGCCACAACCTGCCTCCACATGCCCAGGGCACTAGCCCTTACCAGCCTCCTCTGGTCAGAAGCCACTCAACAGTCATCAGCAAGCAGTCACTTTGGTGCTCCCAGTGGACAAAAACTCTAGGGGGAAAAATAAGCAGTACAATCCAGGATAAAAGGGCAAACTGGAACTAGGTAAGTAACTTCTCCAAGTAGAACTCTTGACTTGAAGGTGGGTAGAGTACAGAGAAGAGGACAATCTGCCGGGTCTCAGCATCTCTCTTCTGAGTCAAGAAGTTGGAAGTAACAACAAATCCCATCAAAATGGACAACTATAATACACTGATAAACATATTTGGGRAAAAAATGGGAAATTAGAACCAGAGGAAGAACACTGATCCTATAGGTAGGATTTTCAGTCAGGTGAGGTCCCTCTGGGGAACTACAAAGGAGAAAGGATCCCAAGAGAAAAATCACCTCCATATGCATCAGAAACAGCAAGAGTCAAAGGGAAATGTCCCAGTGGACCACACAGCACTCAAAAGAACAGGCAGGGATGGAAAGACAGATCTGAGAATCAACTATCCAGGTTGGGCACAGTGGCTCATACCTATAATTCCAGTGACTGGGGAGGCTGAGGCAAGAGGATCACAAGTAAGACGCCAGCCATGGTAACTTTAGCAAGACCCTTAGCAACTCAGCAAGACCCTGTCTCAAAATAAAAAGGAGCCTGGGGATGTAGCTCATTGGTGCAGTGTCCTTGGATTCAATCCCCAGTACCAAAAAGAAAAGGTTCCCAACCTATGAAATTTATAATTTTACACAGCATCTAGTTAAGGAGTCTGAAAAACTGAGACTAAGAAAAGGTGCTACAATCAGTTGTAAAATGGCAACATAGTAGTAAAAAGGGGAAATGAGCTAATGCATGTTTAGAATAAATCTAACAACAGAGATAAAGGAGGGAAACTCTTAAATCTGCCAAAGAAGGAGGTCAACACACCTGAGAAGTCTGAGCTAATTCAGAAAAGCAGGAAGCACACTCAAGGGCCTGAGTCACCCTATTTCAATGGATAAACTGAAGCTCCGAGCAGCTCCAATTCTTCACCCGCATTGTGCAAACTGAAATGCAATTTTGAAACTAAGGCAGATCTTATACACGCATCCCATCTGCCATTCTATTTTAATCTGGGAACACAAAAGCAAGCACACAGGCAAAGGAGTTCATAATTACTGATGCCTGATTTAAGAAAAGCAACTGGAGAACAGGAGGAGCTCTATCCCTCTGAAGAAAGTCCAGTGTGATAGGCCACCATGCCAATCTACTGAAGTTTTATTTCATATGGCTGAGATAGTAATAATGGAGCAATGGTATTTAGTCAAGTAAAATAGGATCTTGAAAGCTCTCTCATGGGCTGTAAGTTGGTTAGAGCTGAATCAGCCCCATGCAGTTAGTAAAACCAGTTTGTTAATGTGTCTTCTACCACACACCATGATTAAGAAATAGGGAAAGAGCACAGCAAACAAATTCAGTTACCCATGAACAACGTGGGAAATATGACTTTTTCTTGCCTAATAAAAAAAAAAAGGAAAAAACATTAAATAGTAATACAAATACTATTTTCACATTGTGCCCTAAAATTAGTCTATGTCCACCTACATGAAGCCAAAAAGAAAAGAGACTGGTTTGCAAAAATAGAGTAAGTGATATATAGGAAACTRTATCAAATTTATGGAGAAAAAAGTTTTGGAGCAAATTCAACTTACTATATYACATACAAAATTTGTATCCTTTTAGATGGGGACATGAAGGACTTTAAGGTGGGGGTGGGAAGAACCAGCACAAGAGGGCAGAGCAGCCTGCATTTGAAGAACTGGCAGAGAGATCCCAGACTAGGTAAAATCTTGATTCCAAAAAATCCTCAACCAGGGTTTACAAAATACAATGTACCCAGTTCATAGATAGTTTCATGTGGTAAGGCTCATTGCATCTGCTACAAGGGRTGAGAAGGTGGGGTGAACCTAATCACCCTGCCACACAAACTTACAAATAACTCCTCCCCCAAAAAACCCTCCTACAGGTCTCAAGGATAACTGGTGAGCTACAATGATCACTACAGCCTCCTCAGGGGCAAGGAGTAGGGCAGGCAAATTCTGGAGCCTAGAGCTTTTTTAAAAAGGAGCCTGTTCAAGATGATGAAACTATAAACCATACTTCTACACTTCTATAAAGATTAATTTCCCTTTTTTTTCCACTCTGCCAGATTTACTAATGGATCTGGGAATTGAGATATTTCCCTCCTTTCCTTTTGCAGCAGGTACATGCCATCTTGGTTTTTGTGTGTCCATAAGGTCAGCAGAAGAAAGATTGGAGATAAAAAGGTAGGCAGCCTGAGGCTGAGGCTGAGGCAGGAGGACTGTGAGTTCAAAGCCAGCCTCAGCAACTTAACAAGGGCCTAAGCAATTCAGTGAGACCCTGTCTCTAAAAAAAACACMAAAAAAGGCTGGGGATATGGCCAAAGCAGAGCATTAATGAAGTGAAAACACAGCAAACCCACAGATCACTCAAGCAACAGTCGGTTAGTATTGCAGTGTACATATACAATCCATTTGTCAACTAATCCCAACACTTGATTGAATAAGGGCCAGCCCTCAAAAGCATATTTCTCTTTTGGTAGAAATAATACAATATGAAATTCATATAATTTAAAACCAAAACCAAGTACCACCTGGAACTAGTTCTATTGGGAAACACCTTTCCCAGCTCAGTCTGGGAAACAATACCTACAYTGCATCTAGCCTGCTTCCTAGGAGCGGGGGGCTCCAGCAGAGAGCCCAAGGCCACTCCAGCTTTCAGCCTACTTTGGATCCCCTACATTTCCCCAAGAATAGGTTCGTCTCTGGATAATCGCTCCTCTATGACCAGAGGCAAATGAAAGGCAGGAGCAATGAGCCTGAACAGATCGTGTTATCCCTCCCTCCCTGTTGTGACCATCCTGAGGCACTCCACACACAAAAGCACCCGTCCAGCCAATCCAGTTCTGGGTCTTTCCTGTTCTCATGTCACAAGATACCTGAGGCCCATCAAAATATATGCTTCCAGACAGAGATTAACAACTACTCTACTGGAGGTAATTAGAAGTTGCAGGAGAAAATAATTAGATCTTATTTCCAATGCTCTTGAAGACTTCCCTTAAACTTTCTCCTTATAAATTGAGGGAAATGGTTACTCTCATGTGAAATAAATAAATAAATATTCCATGTATCATTCATTATAGTATAAACACCGGRTTAACTCCCCAAGTTTTCCTGAAACTCCTAAACCTAAGGAAAATTAATTTTATACTTACCCCACCAAAGAAACTACAAGAGTTAGAACAGAGTTCTGATTTATATATTGATATTTTTCAATGTATTTTTAAAAGAATATCTAAGAAATGTACATACTTCAGGGCAGAATTCTCTTAAGGCACAGAGACAAAACAACACTACTATGGACAGTAAGGATGAAAAATAAGATCCTTTTAAAAATAGATTGTGTATCAAACTGGTCCTCTGTAAACATTCTGTAATTATTGAGGATAGCAGAAAACATAAGCTCTTTAAGAAATTGTGAAAATTTCTAGAGTTGTGCCTGCATTTCTTCCACACAAAAAAAAACAAGGAAGAACTGTCTTCAGGACTCAAAGCAGAGACAATGGTAAGGGATCATGGGTATCTCAGCGGCTTGTTACAGTAACAGCTACCTAAAGTAACATGGTCAGCATTCCTAGGCCACAGGCCCTAACTAGTTTCCCATATTAAGGCATGCCCTAACAGAAGGATAGTCATGCAATGTTTTTTAAAAAATCAGGTAGAACAATATGTAATGATATGGAAAGATACAGGCAATGTAAGTCATGATAAAAATGATACAGAGCAACATTTAAAGTACAATCCTGTGTGTTGCAAAAAGCTTACAGCAGATGCATAAAAATGATTTTACATGCCTAAGAATAACTCTAAGGAATGCAAAAAAAATAGTATAGCAGAAAATAGCACTTTTAAGTTCACAAACTTATATACCAACTGCATTATTTTATTAAGAATATACCTCTGCCTTCAATCTTATGACAATTTTTTTTAAAATCCTCCCAAAAAAGGTCTCCACTTTATACAGAAGTTGTATCTCCTAAAATGAATTTGATCCAGTATCTAATAATTCTGGATTTTATATTTTTCTAAAATTTTCAGATAAGGGATTTTCTCAAGAATTTTGAATATATTCATTTCTATCCTTTAAAAAGATTCACCGAGTGAATCATAGGCCATAAAACGTGGAGAACTGGGACCACAGCTAGCCCTACAGAATCACCCAAGCCCAGCACTGCTGCCTTCAAGGGTCTGCTCCCAGAACAGAAGCTGCACACTCCAGGCACCAGAGGCACAGACTCCACAGAGACCAGAAGACGACAACAGATTTCTGTCTTCCAGGATTTGAATGAGAATTGGTTTTGGGTTTATCAAACTGAGTGTATGTTCTCAAGACTCATAATCTRTTGACTTTTTCTGAAACATTACTACTCCAAAACTGATCACTTAAAAAATCCAGGACTTACCCTTTGTCAAAGAAAGACGTGTGCCCTGATCGAGAGAACTTTGTGCCATTGCTATTCATCACTCCACAGTTCACATTCCCTGAAATATAGGATTTTCGTGATGCTTGGTCCTTTGCAAAATTCCTGCAAGCTGCTAATTTGGATTCTAAAGCCTATGAAAGGAAGAAAGAATGATTTGGTTGTCAAAACAGGAGATGTAGAGAAAATTTTGCATTTCAAACTATATCTATTTCAAGCTTCAGCCTTTGCCCTCCTGGTTGATAATGGTGGGTTAGTTAAGCCATGACCGATCACCTTTCTAATAGAAAGAGGAAACACCTATATGGACTTTATTTCTAAAGAGCTCAGAGTATTTATTCCTGTCAGTCTTATTGAGGGATACAGACACAATTCCCACCTGACAACTAAGAAAAATGTGGCACAGTAGGTACAGACAGATCCCAGGTCTCTTGACCCCATCCATTATCTGTATTGGTTGGAGTGAGACGTGTGTGTGTTGGGAGCAAGCACTATAAAGAATCCAAAAACATAACTTGAGAATGTTTTTAATGCAGCCAATTCTTTGTATAGGTTCTTCTGACTAGTTTTTCCAATGCATCAGAATGGATACAAAAGCATTTACAACAACCTCAGAGGAAATTAAAAGTCATTTTATTTCTGAGAGCACAATGTTTAACTGATACTCTTTGTCTATAATTTAATAAGTCACCTGAAAATAATACTGGCCCTTTAGCATTTATTTCTAAATTGAGTATTTTTACTTTGTACCTGTCATAACACCTAGCAAGTGTCAGGCTCTACCAACTAACAAACTACATGACGAGAATTAAAGTTTCTCATCTATTTCCACATATGCAGATATCACCAACTTCCTCCTTCCCATCAACACTCTGACAAATCAAATACCACTCCCCAAAAAGGAAAATACAATCCATGGCCAAAACAAAAGGGACAAAATATATAGTCCATTCCTGTCATCCATGACACTAAAAGAATAGAAATGCACAGATAAATTAAATCCGAAGATAACATATACTTCACTTTGAGAATCCACTTGGATATCCTACTCCTAAAATTTCAATAAGACTGCTTAGAAAACAGCAGTAAAAACTTCCTGAATTTTTTTTCTCCTCCCTCCTTCCTATGACAAAAAGTATAATGAGCTAGTAAAATAATGACAGAAAGGAGAAGASAGGTAATGACATTATAAGATAAGCTGAGTGAAAATCATTTACTGACTTGTAAATATACACATCCACAGTAGACACTGAAAGTCATGAATTYCCTATATTCAGTGAACACACTTGTCTATTCATTCAAATTATTTTCTGAGCATCTGCCACATGGAAGGCACAAATTTTGTTTGAGGCATCAGTGACACACACAAGCGCAAGCACTGGGGTCTTTTCAAGGGAAAAGGATAATCTAGAGGCTAAGATTCAGATATCATCCACACCCAGCGATGAATAAATTCATGGTTGTGAATTATAAAATCAGAAAATCAAGGATGGAACTCTTAGCAGAACCAGAAAGGGCAGGCAAAGACCCAACAAGATGACTAAGAAAACTGGGCAAAAAGGTGTGAGCAGCCATTAAAAATGTCAGGGAAGCAGAGGAAAGAGGACATTTCAGGGAGAAAAAAAAGCAGGTCAGCATTGACTGTTTCAAACAAAATTAGAACAGCACACACTGGCTTGACAGCACTGAGATCACCAGTGTGCAGGTTTAGTGGATTGAGCAGGGAACAGAGCCCAGACCAGAATGTCTAGGGAGTTCGTGCGTGGTCAAAATGCTAACAATAAACATAGACAGGCTTTCAAAAGTCTTGGCTGTGAAGTGAAGAGAGAAGGGTGATGGCTAAAGAGACATGCAGTGTAAAAAGAATGAAGAGCTGCTTTATTTTTGCTTTTAAAGATTAAAAAAATAAATTATGTAAGGGGCTGAGAGTGAAGGTCAATGGTAGGGTATGTGCTTAGCATACACAAGGCCCTGGGTTCAACTGCTAGCACCAAAAAAAGTAATATGTGATACATAAACATTACACATAAAGATTATAGTATGTGTATAATACATATCACTGAATATACAAATATTACATATGGAGAAGTAAAGATTAAAAAGGTTGAAAAGAATGGAATCCAAAGAACAGATGGATAATACTAGCCACTGGCAGCAATCTGACACTTTTACCTCTGAGACAAAAAGGAAGAATGGCTACAGAGGTAATGACAGGAGGGAAATAACAGAAATTAAGCAAGTTTAAATCAGATGGCCTTGATTTTCTCTRTGAAGAGATAGTGGATAACAGGAATGGAGTGTTAGCCTATAAGAGTGGGGACAGCACAAATGAAATATGCATGAAAGCACACAGGGACTGGTGGATAACTGCACACCAAAAGTTTTAGTGATAACTTAGAAGACAGACTGTTGACTAAATGGGTAAACCATGTAAAGACTCCAAATTAAACTTTCATCACCACTTCTGAATAAATTATATGAAAGCAAAACAAAAAAGGAACAAAGAAAATTAACCACTTCTGAATAAATTACATAAAAGCAAATCAAAAAAGGAACAAAGAAAATTAACCACTTCTGAATAAATTACATAAAAGTAAATCAAAAAAGGAACAAAGAAAATTAATTCAAGTGGCAGGTAGAACCAACCAAGAGTATGATGGAGACAAAGTCTAGGATGACAGTGGCACAACAGCACTAGAAGAACATCAAGGCATTCAGCAGAGTGTGAATGAGAAGCTGGAAGATACAGAGATATCACAAAGAAAGCATGTTTCTTCAACCACAAAGAAGAAAGGTAATTCTAAGTGCTAGGAAAAGAAAACTTGGCATACAAGTCAGCTAAGATACAAATATGCTATGATTTTGAGTAAACAATAAACAAAATGTTTGAAACATCTGTTGAGTGGCAAAATACCAGGGGCCCAACTCCTCCTCTATGATTATGCAGTAAATGTCATACATGGGCATCAGAATGTAAAGTCTACTTGACTACTTTTTAATTTTCAGAACCAAGAGAGAGCTCAAGAAGGGGAAGTGGAGCAGGAAGGGACAGGAGGAGAGATTAGGGAGTTGAGATAGAGTCTAGTAATTCCGAAACAGAGGCTTAAAAAGTTATTTAGGGTTGAGGATGTACCTCAGTAGTACAGCATGTGTTTACTATGTATGACACCCTGGGTTTGATCCCCAGCACCATATTGAAAAAAAAAAACTGGGTATGGTGGGCACACRCCTGTAATCCCAGCAGCCTGGGAGACTGAGACAGGAGGATCTCAAGTTCAAAGTCAGCCTCAGCAAAGGCAAGGCACCAAGCAACTCAGTGAGACCCTGTCTCTAAATAAAATACAAAATAGGGCTGGGGATATGGCTCAGTGGCCAAGTGCCCCCTGAGTTCAATCCCCCCCCTCAAAAAAAAGAGAGAGAGTTATATAATAATAGATGAACAAAAAATAAAAATGAAATGGGAGGTTGAGGTTAAATTATTTTGTTGTTGTTGTTTCAAGGTGATTAAATCAAGATGAAGACAAACAAATCATTTTAAGCTATAAGGGTGTACACAACTCTTATGAAAAGTAGAGTTAAAACATGGTCATCTTGGCATCTTTGAAATGAAGAAAGATTAATCTAGGGCTGGGATTGTAGCTTAGTGGTAGAATACTTGCCTAGCACAGATGAGGCAATGGGTTTGATCCTCACCACCACATTGAAATAAAGAAATAAAATAAAGGTATTGTGTCCATCTGTAACTAAAAARAACTTTTTTTAAAAGATTAATCTATGTATTACATGARTGATTCATGCACATTACTCTTTATTGTAATAACTTTAAAATGAGAGAAAATCAGACAGTTTGAAAATTATTCATTTTTTGAGTCAAAAAAGGCAAACATTGGACATTGTGTGTTGGCCTCCTATTTCTTCTTTAAAGTATAATGCAATTTCTAACTTTTCCAGAAAATTTTTTACACAAAAATAAGTGAAGGGGTGGTGTGGATGGTTGAAGTTTTAAGAGTTGGTTACTGAAAATAAGTGATAAAAGTCACTGAGAGAAATGAAAAAGAAAGCTAATGCTAGAAATCGGAATGTTATAGTAATGACATCAATCCACATGGTCCTTTAACTGTTTCCAGTAATCCAACTGTTTAGTTGTTCCAGATTGCAGCCCTTTATGATCAAAGAGAACAAGAAGTCAACAGCCACAGAATAAGTGAACTGTGTCATAACAGAGGAGTAGAAAGAAAAGGAAAGCAAGAGATGGCTGATAAAGGCAAATACAACAATACATAAACAAATCCGTACTCCTGGTAAAGTCAAATGGTAGGCATTAAACAGAATAAAAATTTAAAAAATGAATAAGAAGCTAGACATGCCAGCACACACCCGTAGTCCCAGCTACTGGGGAGGCTGAAGCAGAGGATCATTTGAGCCCTGGAATTTAAAGCCTGAGCATCATAGCAAGAATGCCTCAAAACACAGACAACTGATTAAGCAGAAAAACTAGTTTAATATTTCAAAAACCAAACTGTTATGGAACACAAGGTTAGAGCTAAAGAGAATGGACTAAAGTTAAGGTGGTCCCAAGAGCAATAAGATAGAAACAAAGAGTAATAATGCCACAAGCCAAATGTCATCCCACAAAATAAATGAGGGAATGACCAGGAAAATGGAAGACAGGGATTAGAAGGTGGTCAAAGACACTTAGAGGCTTCACAGTAAGTATCTTAAACAGAGACAGAGATGTCATGCTATAAACACAGCAGTAGGGAACTCGAAGATCACCCAGTGGTAACCTCAAAGCTCAGGCCCTTCTGCAGAGGCACCAAAAGCCCAGCACTGGTCTCTAGTACTAGTCACTGGATGCCTTTGCTTCTCAACTTTATTGTTACAGATTTTTTACCACACGCAAAGTATCCTTTTATTCCTCCTTCACTTCCAATTAAGAAACAACTCAATCCTACCGCACAATGACAACACCTAGTGATAAAATAATTAAATGCTTACCCCTACTTTCCGTAAGAGATCCCCCACGATGTTTAGTGCTGATATCCTAGCAGAAGGAGTTAGTGGACTGGTTCCAAAACCATTTGGTATAGCTAAAGAAAAAGAGAGTGATGACATTAGCAATTCCCTTTACATTTGGGTTTTGTTGTTGCAACAACAGAGTACAGGCTCCAAAGAAAATCAATATACTATTTCAAACTAACCCTTTCTCTTATGTACATGTATCTCTGAGTGTAACATTTATCTTTTAAACTTTATTTTGGCCAGGGACAGGAGAAACCTTTGGCTTCCCCATCTCAGTGATCTAAAAAATATTCCCCATATTTTCCCTCAGTAGTTTTCTAAATCTTTTTTTAACATTTAGATCATTTGAAGGTTAGGGGGATGGTTCAGTGGAGAGTATTGTAGCATACATAAGGCCCTGAGTTTTAATCYCCAGCACAGCGGGCAGGAGGAACCTAGATCATTCAAAGCACCTATAATTTATGGTTGCCTGAGACATAATGTAGAGGGAGCTGGGGATATAGCTCAGTTGCTATAGTGCTTGCTTCACATACACAAGGCCCTGGGTTCAATCTGAGCACCACCAAAAAAAAAAAAAAAAAGAGAGAGAGAGAGATAATATAGATATCTAAATGTTTTTCCTCCAAATGGATAGCCAATTGTCCTAATACCATTTAGGTAAGACCTCACATCTGAAATAGGACTATAGATTGAATTCCTAACTATTTATATATATTTCAGTTTCACTGAATTATTTAAGTCTATGCCATGAGAAGTATTACTCTTTTCATTTTAACTGATAAAAATGTGTTAATGGAGTACCATATAGAAGTAATTTAATTAATATAGTGTTAAAATCTATTTTTGCTATCTAAGAAGGCAAAGCCCCTTCTTGTTATTAGCCTATTTCAAACTTTTCTTGACCATTCTTACACATCTACTATTCTAAAATAACGAACTTCAACTTCTCAATTTTAAAGATCCTGTTAGAACTTTTATTAGAAGGTTCCAATATACAAATGTATCTATAAAAAGAACCAATAAAAAATAACAACCATCATACTCTGTAATTAAATATTTTTTATAAATTTTTTTTTAAATTTCTTTTTTCTTTACAATTCTTTTTTTTTAAAAGAGAGAGTGAGAGAGGAGAGAGAGAAAGAGAGAGAGAGAGAGAATTTTTAATATTTATTTATTTTTTTTTTTTTGGTTCTCAGCGGACACAACATCTTTGTTGGTATGTGGTGCTGAGGATCGAACCCGGGTCGCACGCATGGCAAGCGAGCGTGCTACCGCTTGAGCCACATCCCCAGCCCCATATTTTTTATAAATTTAAAAAAAACTGAGTTGTAGATGGACACAATACCTTTATTTTATTTATTTATTTTTATGTGATGCTGAGGATCGAACCCAATGCCTCACATTTGCTAGGCTAGCACTCTACCACTGGGCTACAACCCTAGCTCTCTGTAGTTAAATATTTTTTAAAATTTTTAAAAAAATAAAATTGTATCTATTTGTCAACCCTGCCTTAGGGTTTATATCTAATTCTGTGCCAAGGCAGGCCCTGTGTCCTGTTTACTCCTTAATAAAAACTCTAACGGGCTATAAAAGAATGTGCACTGTCTTTGGTCTCACCCAATCTAGGCTTTCAACTATTCTGATTGGTAAACAACCAAAGAATTTTCAGAACTTATCTGTATGATTCTAATTAACAGCATAAAAGCAAAACTTTGTTAATTCTCAGAGTTCGATAATTGTAAAGTATCTGACAGTGAGAGCTTCTGATGACAGCTATAAACTACAGTGTCTGCTGTATATTCAGCAGCAAACTCAGAACATTCTACTATAATTAATAACTAGTGCTATATGACTACATAGCATTTTCACTTGCTTTACCTACTTTCGTCTCATAATAAGCCTAAGACAATTTGATTAATTGAAATGTGGTTAGTACAACTGATAAACTTACTTTATATTTAATTTCATTTCAATCAGTTTTGTGCACTTTTTTTTTTTTTTTTTTTTTTTTTTTTTTTTTTTTTTTTTTTTTTTTTTTTTTTTTTTTTGTGGTGCTGGGGATCGAACCCAGGGCCTTATATATGCAAGGCAAGTATTCTATCAACTGAGCTATATCCCCAGCCCTTCAATCAGTATAAATTAAAAGTCATATGTGGCTAGGGGCTACTTTATCAAGCAGTCCAGATACAGTTTACTGTACTAATTGCCCAGAYAGCAAATCTCCTTCTATTACTCTGAAAGTTAAAGCCCTATAATTTAAAAAGGGTGGGAGGAAAGACTGCTTCAGTTTGGGATGAAAGCAGCATGGAAGAGTGAGAATAGCTGAGATATGAGCTGCAAAAACTAAAATCTGAATCGAGAGCTTTGGGATTTCCTTCTAAGGTTCTATCTAGTGACTACTAAGTGGTTTTTGTTCTTCTCCGGATTGCTTTTGCCATTATCTGTCAGCAAAAGCAATATTCTCAAACTACAGCTCACCAGTTACCCTGAAGGTCACCTTTGATGACAGCAGCTCCTGAAGCATGTTAACAGAATGGGCATATCTATTCAAAACCTCTAGTTTTACATAATACTGATAAGCAGCAAAAGCAAGAAATAAAACTGTATTTAAGTATGGTTCCAAAACTTGAGTGTGAAGAGGAGATGTGCACAAATACAATAAACATTAGCACACAGTAAGAAACTTAAAATGCTCAAGACAATTGTATTGAAGTAGTTAAGATTATAGATGGTTTTGATTTTCATTTTTTCTTTTTTTTGTTTTTAATTTTTCTTCATGGGGCTTGTTCAATGGTAAAATACTTGTCTAATATGAGCAAGGCCCTGGATTCAATCAATACCCAGCACCAAAAAAAAAAAGCCCACCTGCATGAATATGTTCTACTCCTAGAATTAAAAAGTAAACTTTCTTGCTAAACTTTTCACTTTTTAAAATCTCAATTAGGCTGTTGATGTCTTAAAGGCAGCCATTATTTGTTTCCTACATAGCAGTGGCTGAGGAAAACAGTTGCTCTGCTTCAAAAGCACTTGATTGAACCAACTTTTAAACTGCAATTACTGATTGAACCTTAGCAACTCCTGTTTCATCAACAAATCCTCTTCAGTTGATAATCTAACACAGTCTCAAAGAGAAAGACAAACCTTTTGGTGAAGGAAAACTATTTTCTGTTCCTTTGCCAACAGGAGTAGCTGGCAAAGAGAGTGAAGCCTGGACAGCAGAATCCATCTTCTCACAGTCCAACGTGGGAGAACTGGGAGCTGACTTTCGGGTCACTTCCTGTTGTCTCTCCCGAACTGCTAGTTCTTGCCTTAAGTCTGCAATGTTGCAAACAAAGACAAGAATATTCACTAGAGGGAGCAAATACATTAAGCAAAGTCACATCTGCAATGTCATAAAGATCTTCTTGCTCAAGTACTATTTCTCAGAAATGAAATTCCTATTTAACAACTTCTATTTCAAGGGAAATAAAAATRACAGCTCTGCAATCTGAATGATTTCTTGGAATTTAAAAATACTATAACCTCAGAGAATAGTCACTATGTCCAAATGCAAAAAAGAAATAAGGCCAGGTCCAAAATAGAACTCAGAATATACCTATATGACATAAAAATAAATATTCTTTACCAACTCATTTGCTTTCATTTTGAAATGATGGAGTTTAAAGATTACTGCAAAATCAATAAAATGTAGTTTTGTAATTTTAAATGGGTTGGGATTTTTAATTATCATGAAATATTTTGTTTTAGAAAAATATTCAGAACAGTTTTTTTCTTTCAAATATTGGATTTTTAACCCAAAATTAATATTCTCTTTTCCAGTTACACAACCAACCTACAGAACATTTGCTTATGTTAAAAAAAGAGGCGGGCTGGGGTTGTGGCTCAGCAGCAGAGCACTTGCCTAGTGCGTGAGAGGCCCTGGGTTCAATTCTCAGCACCACATATAAATAAATAAGTAAAAAGAAAGGTATTATATCCAATTACAACTAAAAATAAATAAACATTTTTTTTAAAAAAAAAGGATGCAAAGTTATTCCGATCCTGGGATCCAAAAGAATTCAAAACAGGATCACAGATTATACACATCTGTGCTCCTAACAACATTAATTATAATAGCTAAGAGATGTAAGAAAACCAATGTCCAGGGCTGGGGATGTGGCTCAAGCGGTAGCGCGCTCGCCTGGCATGCGTGTGACCCGGGTTTGATCCTCAGCACCACATACCAACAAAGATGTTGTGTCCGCCGAAAACTAAAAAATAAATATTAAAAAAAAAAAAAAAAAAAGAAAACCAATGTCCATCCATGGATGAATGAAGAATATGGATACACATAACAGAATATTATTTAAAAAGAAGGATATCCTGTCATATTACACCGATAAACCTTAGGACACTATGCTAAGTGAAAATAAGCCAGTCACAAAAAACACAAATACTGTATAATTATACTTATGTGAAGTGTTTAAAGAAGTAAACTCACAGAAACAGAAAGTAGAACTATGATCCCAGGGGGAGGGGAAGAACATGAGAGTTGCTGTTTATATGGTTTATATAGTTTCAGTTTTGCAAGATGAAAAAGTTCTAGAGATCTATTACTCAATAATGTGAAAATACCTTGCACTACTGAACTATGCACTTTGGCTAACATTAAGACAGGCGTGGTGGCACATGCCTGTAATCCCAGCAGCTTGGGAAGCTAAGCCAGAAGGATCGTGAGTTCAAAGCCAGCCTCAGCAACTTAGCAAGGMCCTAAGCAACTCAGTGAGACCCTGTCTCTAAATTAAAAAATACAAAAAAGGGCTGGGGATGTGGCTCAGTGGTTAAGCACCCCGGGTTTAATCCCCAGTACCCAACAAAAAAAATGGCTAAGACATTAACCACAATTGTAAGTAAATAAGATAAAGTTAATATTTTATACATTATATAAACTATAAGAAGCTCTACAGACGAATACATCAGGAGGGGGGACACACAAAAAACAATCTATAAAACAGTTGTTATGGTTTGGATATGAGGTGTTCCCCAAAAGCTCACGTGTGAGACAACGCTAGCAAGTTTAGAGGTGAAATAATTGGGTAAGGAGAGCCTTAACTTAATCAGTGCATTAAGCCACTGATATGGATTAACTGGGCAGTAACTATAGGCAAGCAGATTATTAATGGAGGAGATAGGTCACTGGGGACATGCCTTTGGGGTTTATATTCTGTCCCTGGTGAGTGAGTCTCTGCTTCCTGGTGGCCATGTCCTGAGTTGCTTTCCTGCACCATGCTCTACTGTCATGATGTTCCACTTCACCTCAGGCCCAAAACTACAGAGTCAGCTCCTCTGTGGACTGAGACCTCTAAAGCTCCAAATAAACTTTTTCTCCTCTATGTTGTTCTTGTCAGGTCTTTGGTCACAGTAATGAAAAAGCTAACTAAACAACAGTCAATAAAGATTGGAAAAAGCTCTCCAAGAGTAATCATTTACTACAAATTAAAAAGCAATGAAGCTGGGCATGGTGGCACATACCTGTAATCCCAGCGGCTGGGGAGGCTGAGCAGGATGATCAAAAGTACAAAGCCAGCCTCAGCAACTTATGGAGGCTCTAAGCAACTTACTGAGACCTTGTCTCAAAATAAAAAATAAAAAGGGCTGGGGATGTGGCTCAGTGGTTAAGGGCCCTTGGGTTCAATCCCTGGTATCAAAAAAAAAAAAAAAGCAACAGCAGCAATGAAAAGCCAGGCACAGTGGCACATGCTATAATCCCAGTGACTCCAGAGGCAGAAGCAGAAGGTATGGTCAGCCTCAATAACTTAGCAGCCTATTTTATTTTTTATTTTGAGACAGGATCTGTTGTCAGCAAGTTCCTGTCTCAAAATAAAAAATAAAATAGGCTGGGGCCAGGAATGGTGACACATGCCTATAATCCCTGCAAGTTGGCAGCTAAGGCAAGACGAAAGCAAGTTCAAGGCCAGCCTCAGCAAACTTAAATGAAATCCTGTCTCAAAAAATAAAAAAGGGCTGGGAATATGGTTCAGTGGTTAAGCACCCCTGGGTTTAGTGCCTAGTACCCAAAAAAAAGAAAAGAAAAAAGTGATTTTCAACTTTCAAATGAATTTATTTTTGAATAAATTTTAAATATGTTTTTATTATTGATGATGTTGATAAACAATGTGAGAAAGTCCTTAGTCATTGCCAGAGGGAGCAAAAAGGTACCGATTTATGTAAAAAATGAGCTTGTATATTACGACAACAAAACCTTCATTTTCTTTACCACTTATAAGAATTTCTTCCTGGAGGCCTGGGGTTGTGGCTCAGTGGTAGAGTGCTTGCCTGGAATGCATGAGGCACTGGATTCAAACCTCAGCACCACATAAATAATTAATTAATTAATTAAAGTATTGTATCCATCTACAACTAAATAAAATTTTTTTAAAAAAATTTATTCTTAGGAAATCAAAGATGCTCCTAAATATTATGYATGAGGATCCTAATCATAGCACAATTTACAGTGGGAAAAAATAGTCACCAATAAAGAACTTCTTAAAATATAACTATAATAAAATAGTATGTAGCATTTTTTWAAATATTTTTAGTTGTAGATGGATACAATGCCTTTATTATTTGATTTATTTTTATGTGGTACTGAGGATGGTGAACCCAGTGCCTCACAGGTACGAGACTAGCACTCTACCACTGAGCCACAACCCCAGTTTCTATATAACATTTTAAAAAATCTATTTTATATAATTTCTTAATGGTACAAATATAGAATTCCCTATGTAGAATTCTCTGTTAAAGGCAAATGTTAAGGAGTGAAAAAAATACACTTGTGTGTATCTGATTGGGTGTGTGAAAGATAAGTGACAGGAACTATATAAAGGGAAAAAATAGATATGCATAGTCATAGAAAAGAATAGAAAGAAATATGCCAAACTCTTAGTGGATTCCCTCCAAATAAAGGGATTGGTACGATCTTCATCTTCTTCAAGATACTCTGCATTCTACTAAAAAAGGGGAGAAGGGAAACTATTTTGAGGAAAATATATATTAACTATATGTATAATAAGTATACAATAGTATGTACATATTTAGTGCTGTGTGCATAACAAAATTATTTAGGCATAAATAGTAAGAAGACCAGGTATGCTGGTGCATGCCTATAATCCCAGCAGCTCAAGATGCTGAGGCAGGAAAATCAAAGTCAGCAGCAGCAACTTAGCAAGAACCTAAGCAACTCAGTGAGACCCTGTTTCAAAATAAAATATAAAAAAGGGCTGGGATATGGCTCAGTGGTTAAGTGCCCCTGGGTTCAATCCCAAAAACAAAAAACAAAACAAAACAAAAAAGTAGTATGTAAAAACCCCAAACAAACCAAGCAATATATGTACAGTGGTAATAATTAAAGCTTTGAAAAACAGACCAGGATTTCAATCCTAGCTGACAAGCTATACTGCCTTGGAAAAACTCAAATTCTCTGTGCCTCAGTCTTCTCCTCCTTAAAATAGGGAAAATCTACCTCTTAGCATTGAGGACATAGGTATTAAGAAAATAAACAGATTAAAAGCATTCAGGGCAACTTAAAAGAAGGTGAGGGCTAGAGACTAGCTCGCCCATAGAGTACTTGCCTAAGTGAAGCCCTAGGCTCAACCATCAGCAACACAAAAAAAAAAAAAAAATTAACATAGAAAAAAAGAGGTTGACTCCTTAGCTTACTAGACAGCAAAGTAATAGATAAACATCCTCTAAATTATAAATCTTACCTCTTGCTTCATCCTTTAACCTCTGTACAGAAACCAACAAGGATTCCTTTTCATCGAGTTCACTTTCTAAAAATGCATTTCGTTCAATGGCCTGAKTTAGCCTTTGTTCAAAGTCTTCCAGTGAAACTATTGTTGCCCTTAAAAAAAACAGTGCCCATGAATTAAATAAACAACTGTACAAATTGCTATTATAAAAAGAAACAGTTTATCTCCCACCATTTCTGACCTAGCCAGTCTGGCCCAGTTCAAAGAGAATGATCTCAACCCATTTAACAAACATTAACACAAACCTAATATGAGCCCCTCCCACTCTATGCTCTGACCTTCATCCCTAACCTTCTCCAGTCTTCTGCCTTAATTCCTCATCATCTGGATTATTCTTTAATAACCTTTGTGCCTCCTCTCCAACTTTCAATTCCTCAGTATTATCTTCTCAAAACCTGTTATTACTCTTTTGTTTAAAAAATTTAAAAAAACAAAACACAAGGTTCTTCACAACCTGGCCCCAACCACATTTAACCACTCTATCACATTCAGCAAAACTGTGTCAAGACAACTCAATCAAAGTGAAACTAGTAATACCCAAAGCACCTTCCTACCTCTCTACCTTTGCATCTGTCCCTTCACCTGTTTAACTTCTCTCCTCCTTATAGACTCCAATATCTGCAAAGGCTTTCCTGGTTCCCACAGGTACTCTGCTGCTCCCACCTCTGTACAGCCAGAGCAGCCTATATACTCTTTTTGCCACAGTATTTGCCACAGTGAATGTTCTTATCTGTCAGCCCCAAGGATAGTAACTTGCTAAGCTGTTATTCCACAATATTAGCATTATGTCAATCACTTAAGAGCCACTTGATAATATTAAGTAATACCTTACAATAACTGTAAAGTAACAGGCATTAAGTCTGGAATGGTTAAGAAATAACTAATTACAGAGGCACGAAAATTTGGCAATAGTAATAGCAAACCACCATAGGTCGTTAAGGCAAAGTCACTGGTCAGCATTCAAACAGAAGAGAATGAAAAGAACTATAAACATAAAGAGAGATCCACAGGGAAATAACTGCAAAATTCAGGTAGAAGACATGAGGACCTACAGAAAGCATGGTAGTGTTTTATAGAGAAGAAATGGCAGAATGCATGAGACATGCCTTGAAAAACAAGAAGGATCAACAACAGTGCATGGAGAAAGAAAAAGAAAAAATTAAAAGAAAAGTTTGGAAGGATGTTATCTGGGAAGACAAGGATTTGGGGTGTCTTTTAATCCAACAAAACACCAAAAGGAAATGCTCTGAGAGTAAGATCTAGGTGAGAGGGTGAGCCTAATGATACAGATTTCAAACTTTGGTTATTCTCACAAAACACACATCATCATTTACCTCTTCGCTCTCTCCAGGTCATCATTGGCCTGTTCCAGCTCTCTCACATATTTATGCAACTGCTCTTTAATGGCCCGGGTCTGACTTAAATCATCTTCTAATACTGAGACCTGCTTGTAGCTCTGTGCATACTGATGTTCTAGTTTTTCCTGAAGGTATAGATATAGAGAAGAAGGAATAGGTCATTAATATATAATCTCCTTTAAAGGATGTAACCAAAGTTAAGGAGGGAGGGACAAGGAATCACAATCTGTTGACTGTGCTCCTCTCCTTTTTTACAGTATTTTAAAAATAACTAAATATTCTATTCTATGTGTTTTAACTCACATAAAATTAAGTCAACCATTCTCCTCTCATAAAGATATCTAATAATGATCTCTGAAAAGAAGTAAAATAATGAAACCTTGGCCTCAACATTCCCAGACTTAGTAGGGGAGCATCTGGGTTCTCAAGCTGAATGCAACCCAGTGCAAACAGTAGCAGACTGCCATCAGAGTCTAGATTCCCTACCCCTTATTTGTCTCCCCACCTTTCCCAAACCACCCACTCCCTTCAGAAATACTCCTAAGCATATAGTTATGGCAGGTGGTGAAGAACAGAGAAAGGGGTCAACCTTTTTATGCCTGAAAATTCCTATTCAGAAGGGAAACTTTAACACAAATTAAACTCCAAAATGAAGGGGCTATGAACAATAATGAAATAAATGCACATTCCATATAAATAAAATTTTAAAGTACTGTACTATAAGGCAAATGATTTGTCAAGTAATCAGGCAGCTTTTGAAAACTAGAGGAATTTTAATATAACCAGGAACGTTACAACTAGAAAACTGAGCGCCATTAAGTTTCTAAGTGAACTTCTAAACACTGATCCACCTTCCTTTGGTTCTAGGAAAGAAAACATTTTATTCAAAAATTCACTTGAAGCCTTTTTTATATCTTTGTTGCCTCTTTCTCTTACACAGACTTGAAAAATATACTTCTCATTTTAATAAAACCCAGTACATCAGACACCAGCTTCTCCTGCCACAATTACCTTTAACGCCTCCACTTCATATTTCAGTCTTTGGTTATCAGCTTGCAGGTCTCTGTTTCTTTGTTCAGCCTGTACTAATTGTGCCTCCAACTCTGCTTCTAATTCTCTGCTTCCCTCCTGGAATTCAACTAGTTCATCACGAGCTTCCTGGAAGCTAATGAGAATAAAGCAGCAAAGATGAGTAATAATAGGAACTACAGGATCATAGTGAAGAYAATGATACACCAATTCAATAATTTTTGCCTGAAAATTAATGTTCTCATAAAGTATGCTACACACTAAAGACAATCTGGTCTATATTTCTTATCTATATATTCAGAGTTCAATGAAAATGAGTTATAAACCCCCAAAAGACTCACAAATCAGTGATTAAAATATTTATAAAAAGTCTACATAGTTTAATAACATTAGATTTTCCTCCATAGAAATTAAAGGAAGGGGGCAGGGAAGGCATCTTTATTTACACTAGAGTAACTACAATTACCTTCAATTCTGTCCAGTAGTACTCTCATATCACAATAGAGTTGTTATAGATTTCTTTCTTTTTTGCAGTGGTGGGACTGAACCCAGGGGCCTCACACATGCTAGGCAAGCACTCTACCATGGAGTCATGTCCCCAAACCCAGATATCTCTAAACATCATTTATTCTCACTACCAATTCAAAATGAGGTATTATACACCCCCAAATCTTTATTACTTAATGCAGTAACATAGCACAAATTAGTTTAATATTTAGATGACTGTTTTTAATATAATTGGTTTCCTCTGTATTTCTATCATTTAACTTTATGCATTTAAAAACATTCTGAGAAGAGATTGATAGGCTTCAAAGCCATGTGCAACACAAAAAAAGGTAAAGAGCCCCTGATGACCTTCTATCTCCACTGATACAATAGAGTAGCTAGCTGGAATGATACCAGTGAAAGCACAATWAAAAGTTTGATAACATTTAATAAATTCTGTTAACCAACCTAGGAAAATGTATAAATACTTTGGAAAGATTCTACTTTTTTAAAAAAGCAATTTTAGACCAGTTTTGGTGCTGAAAAGTTATTATCCATAAGTTTTTCTAACCAAGTAAATTAACTGAAATTTTATAAAATGCTCCATAGCCCTGAAGTTCATCCCTAACACCCTCAAAGCCTGCCTATCTCCAGACACTAATAATGCATGCCTGAAAAGAACCAGAGTCTAAGAATCTTCGTGTGAGAAACGACACACACACAGCAGGCCAAAGATGGCCCACTCTAATAAATACAACTGGAGGTGACCCATCTTAAATCATAAAATCACAAATGACACTTTTCCTACTATTTTTAATAATTATAACAATATAAAAATTTACAGCATTTTAGTAGTATTTAAATGCAAGCAATGTTATGGCTATTTCTAGAATCATATACCTAAATCTGATACTCTAAATTTAGATTAATGTTTTTTAAAAAATGCACAAGCTAGATATGGTGTGTTCCAAATGTCCTCCCCTATTTTTAGTGTACTTTTCAACTTTACCTTTGTTTATACTTCAAGGAAAGTTCCTTCCAATAAGCAGTTTCCTCCTTTAAACTTGAAAAATCTGGTATATCTTCACCATCCATGATCAAGAAAGCCTATGAAATATTAAAGACAAACTGTTGTAAGTTAAAGAGAGAACATAAAAATCTAAGCAAAAGTATAAAATCTGGGGCAACACAAAATCTGTAGCATCTTGGAGCTAAATATGAAATATTCTAGGAACAGTTAACTCATTAGTATTACTCAAGTACATGCCCCACTTCACTGCCCCACTCAGGAACAACCAATATTGTGACAAAGTCTTGATAGGAGATAAAATCAACAAAGTCCTTTGGCACAAAGCCAGTGAGGCACTTTCAATTGCAGCACTAGGTTCTAGGTTACTTGGCCCCATCCTGCACACAGAGTTCCAGCAGTTGGGTTATGGTCAACTAGTCTTCTAGGAATCAGGTAATAAAAGTAAGCACAATGTCAGAGACTCTGCTACTGCATGCCCTTCCTTGTTGTATAATTGCATCAAAACATCTGCTTTGGAGCATTTCATGCCAGGTGACACTGCCAGAAGATGGGTAATAATTTACTACTTCCAAATTTCTAAAATCTTCCTATTATATTCCCTCCCCTAATGCTGGAGATTGAACCCACGGCCTCACACTTGCTAGGCAAGTCCCCCTATTAATTATCTTTTAAGTCCAAAGCTTCTTCCAAAGTCCAGTCATCTCAATCTTCAATTATCATTTGTCTTGGTTCTTCTCCCAAGACATTGGGGGAAGGGGGTAATCTATTTGTTTAACCTTGTTGTTGGATCAGCTAAACACCCAATTCATAGTCAGGCCAGATGGAATACCAAAAAATGTTAGGTCTACTCTAGATTCATGCCTAGGGTTTCCTACAACCTCCTCCCTAAGCATTCCACTTGATATTTCAGTAATGCCATTCAAAATTGTCTTATCACACCATGCTATTTCAGGCGTGGATGTTTTCACTACCTGAAATGTTTCTCCATTCCTTGCATTTGGAAAGCTCCTATTTTTCCTTAAAATCCAGCTATCATCTTTTCCAGACTTTCTTGCCCTCATCCAAAGAGCATTAAAATCTCCTATACTCTTAGGTTCCTCTATCCCACACACATACTTTCAATGATAGCAATGTATTTGCTAACAGTTTTATGGCTCCTATTAGTCTGTGCATTGTCCTTATTTATTTCTGTCCCCGCACAATATCTGCACAATTTAAGAAAATGCTCAACAATATTTACTGAATTAAAACATAATTGATTCAACCTAACACATACTGGGAAGCAAGAACTCAAAACTAGCTTTAAAATTAAATTAATAAACCCCTGGAGATGTAGATAACTTGGAGTTCATTTAACACAATCCACTTGTGAAGATATGGCAAGAACTCAGTCACAGATAAGAATATAGAACTCTAGGGACCAGGGTTGTAGCACAGTGGTAGAGAGCACTTGCCTAGCACAATGTGAGGCACTGGGTTCAATCCTCAGTACCACATAAAAAAAATAAACTAAATAAAGGTACTGTGTCCGTCTACAACTAAAAATTTCTTTAAAAAAAAAGACAAATTGCAAAACGACCCAAATATTAAAAACAACAAAAAAGAACACAGAACTCCAACTTCAGGGTGAGTACACCAAAGAGGGATGAGTATGGTTTTTAATCTAACAGAAGTATAAAGTAACTTTATATGTTAAGTTTAATTCCTTTGAGGCCTATTGCAAATKTTTCTTTCTTAATCAAGTCTTGCCTGATCACACCATTTATTATTACCTTAACATCTGTTAGACAATCTCATAATTACCTTAAGTTACCAATTATCTTAAATCAGCTTGTAAGTGCTTTAAAAGAGATGGATCCTTAACACATCTTGTTTCCCTTTCAGGGCACTAAGACTAGCACCCTGCTCAGAGAAAGCACCGAACACTTTCAAAAATTAACTGAATGCCTACTATGCATCAGATATTGTTAAGCACTGAATAAATACTTATTGACCAAACACACCCTCCTCTAATGTGATTATTTCTATACTAGGACACATTTGTCTGAACTATTCCACTCTTTGAGGTGCCATTATAGCATGGCAGCCCTTTAAAATGTTAACCTCACAAGGCTGGAGTCCTGTTGAGTCTGGATTCTAACATTCCAATTCTGCCACTAAATTACTTAAACAGTTTGATCTCTTAGGCCTCAGTTTTTTCATCTAATGAGGATTTGGACTATACTAAACTGACTTATAATTATGTCACTGTACACTGTATGTACACTGATTAGTAAATAATACTAATTTTATAATCCTGTCCCTTCATCAAAGTTTCAAATTCCCACTTCACCTTCTCAAATGTAGAGGTAATCTTATTTGTAATTAATATGCAGTAAGATATGACTAAGGACAAGTTTCATCCAGAAGCAAGGACAAGGTTCATCCAGAAGTAAGAGGGAGCTACATTTCAAAAGACCCAAAGAACTCACAGCCATTGTCATGTGCTACCAATAACTCCTCAGAGTCACTGCCTAAGTCTCCTGAAAGGGAGGAACCCATTTTAACAATCCAAATGAAGTCAATTATAGGACACAAGATCTTTCCCCTAATTGCCCTAAAAATTGTGATAACATTTTAAATCCAACCCTAAAGAAACTGATTATAGAATGGCAATTATCAAGAATACAAGCAACAATAAATGCTGGCAAGAATGTGGGAGAAAAGATACATTGCTGGTGGGCCTGCAAATTGGTGCAACCACTATGGAAAGTAGTATGGAGATTCCTCAGAAAACTTGGAATGGAATTACCATTTGACCCAGTTATCCCACTTCTAGGTTTATACCCAAAGAACTTAAAATCACCATACTACAGTGACACAGCCACATCAATGTTTATAGCAGCTCAATTCACAATAGCTAAACTATGGAACCAACCTAGGTGCCCTTCAACAGATGAATGGATAAAGAAATTGTGGTATGTATACACAATGAAATATCACTCAGCCTTAAAGAAGAATGACAGCATGGCATTTGCAGGTAAATGGATGGAAATGGAGAGAAATAAGCCAATCCCAAAGAACCAACAGTATCTCTGATATGCAGATGCTAATTCACAATAAGGTTGGAGAATAGAGGTACTTTGGACTAGACAGAAGGGAGTAAAGGGAGGGAGAGGGTACAGGGATAGGAATGATAGAACGAATTGAACATTATGACCCTATGTGCATATATAATTATACAACCTGTATAACTCTACATCATGTACAACCAGAAGAACAAGAAGTTATACTCCATTTATGTATGATGGTCAAAATGCATTCTACTTTTTTTTTTCTTTTTTCTTTTTTTGCGGTGCTGGGGATTGAACCCAGGGCCTTGTACATGCAAGGCAAGCACTCTACCAACTGAGCTATATCCCCAGCCCTCTACTTTCATGTATAACTAATTAGAACAAATTTTTTAAAAAGATGTGCCTAATTTTAAAAAAGAAGAAGGAGGAGGAGGAGATTATAAGTTCATGGGCACTGGTTCCTGCATTTGGATATAAGTTACCATTTGAACTCTGGCAACTGAGTGTTAATGAGCAATTCAAATGTTCAGTTTCTGGTACACAATCCAATAAATTATGGTTTTGCAAAATGTTATGAAGACCAGGGATGACATAGGAAGCAATATTCAACTACTATCAACTCTGCATTCCACAAGAAACAGTTGAAAAGAAATGAAAGGTTAAGTCTCTCTAGTTCCTTGATGGCATAACCTGCCTTGTTTATAAATCCATCCACATCACCAGAAACATGGAACCCAGAAGAATCTCAATAAATATTACGTGAATTGACTTATAATCTCTCTTTCATTATTCCCTCTTTCCTTTAAAAAGTACCACTTTCCTTTATTAACATCTGTATTCCTCTTTCAGGGATAGAGTAAGCAAAGACTTGTGGCTAGTTTATTTCAACCTCACAAAATGTACCACCATATATTAACCCAAGAGTATAAAACCTATCATTCTCAGTTGTACAAAATTATCAGTCTGATGCATGCCAAGTTACAGTCAGTCACTTTTGTAGGTAGCACATCAAAAAAGAAGGAGCTGATGGAACTTATCAGGGAGAATCTTGAGGAAACAACTGCATACCAGTGGCCTCAATCATCACCCAGCTTAGTAGTTTTAAATATAAGTGGATAATAGAGAACCACCAGACAAATGGAAAAATACAGTAGCATGAACAAGTAAATCCTAGAACCTACTGAAATTGAGTGGAAAGAGAATTCAGGAAAGAGAATTTTTTTCTGATAAAAGAACTCAGGAGGATTACCCCCCATAAGTCCTGAGATAGTTGGGGGGTTTTTATTTATTTTATTTATTATTTTAAAGGTTGGGGGAGAAAACCTGACCTGATCAGCATAGAGTATAGTACACAGTGGCTCCAACCAGGACTGCAATGAAGAGAAGTCCCAGGATGAAAGCCTAGTCCATCAGGCCCAGAGAGCAGCTCAAATAGGACTGGCTCTGAGAAAAACAGAGAATCCCATAGAATAGACAGTATGCCTGAGAAACTGGATAAATCTGAGATTGTGATGAAGGCACATTACTCTGCCACCTATTAGAAAAAGAACAACTGAAAACCTGGTGGGGGTGGGGGGAATAACATAATGTGATCCTTGCTGGGCACAGTGGCGCATGCCTRCAATCCCAGTGGCTTGAGAGACTGAAACAGGAGGATGGCAAATTCAAAGCCAGCCTCAGCAATGGCAAGGTGCTAAGCAACTCAGTTCATTGAGACCCTGTATCTAAATAAAATACAAAACAAGGCTGGAGATGTGGCTCAGTGGTCCAGTACCAATCCCCAGTACAAAAAAAAAAAAAAAAAAAAAGAAAGTCCTGATCCTTATATAATCTTAAGGATTTCAAATGTAAATTTTTTAATTACTTTTATAGTATTTTAACCAACTGCGATAAGTCCCATAACTTTATAGCCAATAACAACCTTTCCATTTTTTGGTCTTGAATTTGTGGTAAGTTTCTTACCTTGCTGTTTTAAGGCTCAAAGTCTTGGCAAACAAGTTTGCATTCTCTTTTTTATGCCATTTCTCATTTTTTAGACTTTGATGATAATAATTCTTAGTGTTGGTCTTCTCAAAGTGAGTATTTCTTGTCTTTTTAGCCTATAATCATGCAGTAGTCACCTTAGTCCTTAAACATTCTCACTGTCATGCTTTAGATTATCCTTAGATCACATATAAACTGTACAGAGCTGAATGAATAGTGCTACTTCAGCATTCAACATTTTATTGGCTAGCAGGATAATTTTCTTTTGAATTTTCAGTACTCTTTCTGTTATTATGCAGCACTTGACAATACTGCTGCTGACTGTGTGGCCCGTGAACCAGTGTCCTTATGGAAGTTTCTCATGACTGTCAGATGCTACTTTGGCATCTAACATCTATTTGAATGTACTATATTTGAATGTGGAGCCAATCATTCTACAAATAAGATCAGGATTGTTTTAGTCTATAAATGTTTTTCAAATACCCACTTCAAACATTTCAGTGGTGAGGGAGGGTTTTTTGGTTGTTTCTAACCCATGTACTGTATAGAAGAACCTACTGGCAGTTACTGCTTTGAAGAGGGCTTAGTTAACTATTGATCCCTGGAGGACAGCACTGTTTACACCTCAGGGTCCAGTGCTATGAAGTATCTTTGTCTCTGGCTTTTGGTTCTTGAACAGAAACATATTCTTAACACAACTATCAACTTTTCTAACCTATGTTCCCTGATGACAGGTTTTAAATAGCCATTTGCTTGAAAGTTTTTTGAGAATCTAGGTTTATCTCTGACATTCCCTTCATCCAACTACTTTGGTATTAAATAATTCCAGCAAAGTTATTATATGCTTTTACTTCATACATGCTTAATTTTCTTGCTGAATCTTATGTGGGCTTAATGTTGACCCCAATTTTTTTTTAATGAATGAGGCTACTTTCATAACTTGCTTCTTGGCCCTTCAAACTGTATTATACTTTATGCCAGATATCTTACTACTAAAATAATCATCACCTTTTCTAGAACAAACCAATTAAAATTATTTAACCAATAATAAGTCATGGGAGCAGCATAGCACAGTGGTTAAGAGACAAAACCCTGAAGCCAAGCTGCCTGAGTTTGAAATCAGGCTCCTCTGTTTACTAATTGGGTGACCTTAGGCTAGTTACCAACTACTCAGTGCCCCATTTCCTAACCTGTAAAATAGGGGTGGGTAATCAGTAAAATGACATTGTTATGACAATTAAATGGGTTAACATTTGTAAAATACTTGGAATACAGCCTGGCACACAGTAAACAGCATAAAGACTCATTAAATTATAAAAAACTATAATTCAACAGTGGACCTTTGAAGTTTAACCACAAAGTAAACAGGCTTTTCAGAATTTAAAACATGCAAATGATTCCTTAATATTAATTATTTCAGGGAGCTATACTCATATTCCTGTGATACCATCACTACTAAAAATATTTCTAAAACTTCTTTTGGAATAGGCTTTATGAGCCAGGTTAAGAACTAAGCAAAAAAGTTCCATGGTCGCACCTCTTTATTTACTGCTTTCCAATTAGCACAATTCAGCTTGACTCTAATTTTATCATTAGACTTACCCTTTTAAGTATCAGATTCTTTACAAAAAAACAAAAATGTGCTACCACTGCAGATATTCACAAGACTGTTTTCAGGGGCTTAAAAGACAGTGTGTTCAGTTTGCCTCCAGTTACATTGGGAGGATATGTTCACTGTCATCTGAAACTATGTAATTGGAGATATTAAGGGTACAGAAAGTTAGCCAATATAAAAAAAAAAAAACACCGCTAAAAAATTACTGGAACAGTACATCTATAATTTCCTGACATTGAAATGAAGGCAGATAATTGGGTATTCTCTGTTTCCCTTCCCTTAATACTGTGTCTTTCACGGGTAGGATAAGAAAATTACAACTTTTGCATCGGGCATATCATACCCTATATGACCTTCAGATACCTAACAACTCACTTGGGTTTTAAACAGCCTGTCTAAAATGCCTTGTTTACAAGAACACTACTCTTTGTATAATGGTAAGAAAATCTATTTTATATGATACTGTATTCTTGTTAACAACTGTTAAGAGTGAAGTGTTCTTTGAGAAACACACACCCCCACCCCCGTAGATAATACACACTGTGTTTTACTTCTCCCAAAGGTGACATTTACAGATTTTTTTTAATTTTTCAAAGCCAATCATTATAAGGTGTCTCTTTTGGTTGCATGAGAAGAAATTTTAAGCTTGAGTAATCAACTTTATCTTAGAATGGTTTAAAATGAAAATAAAAAGTTTTGTAGAGTCATGAAAATAAGAATTAAGTTTTAATTAAGGTTTCTACTTATTTCAAATGCTCTTTTTTCCAACTTCAACTTAAGAAAAAATAAGCTACAGGTTCAGAAGATTTAGCTCCTTCTGTCTGAATCAGGTCAATCTCTAACAACAAAACAAGGGTTTTTTTGTTTTTATTCTTGTTCTTTATGTGCTCCAATTTTAAGTAACAATACTTTTAATAATAGTTCTGAACAGATACCATTCATTTACTGTCCCTTTGTTTCTCTACTGTATGACTTAATGCTGCATTTTGCTCCATCAACTTCAGGATTTAGCAAAGTCATAACCCAATCCCTTTTTAAGTGCACTGAAACCAACATAATTTATCAGACAAAATAACCAGCCACCCATGAATAAGCTTCAGAGTAAGATTTTCTTTTCTCATAACTGAATAATTTTTATTTTAGGTAATTCTGCTCAAAAATAGCTGAAAAAATCATTTTCTAGGTTTTGGTATATTTTGGGCAAGTCAATTTTTTCTGCCTTGCCTTCTAGCTGAGAAGGGTCTAAAAATCTCACAAAAAGAAACCCAGAACCTGAACCCTAGAAATGTAAACTCTGATTCAAGCTACGCTTCTCACCAGTTGGCTGAACCCAAGTATAAATCACTTACTTGCCCCCCCAACTGGGCTCAATTTCCCCATCCAGAAAATGAAAATAACAGCAACCGTCACAAGATCAGCGTTCAAAGCTGATAGCAACGAAGTGAAATGCGTGAAGGCACTATAGGAATGGAATCAAATAACCATCAGTGAAAGAACCTTCACTTTCTTGGCACTTAAAGGGTTACCGTCGCTTACTAGAAAAAAAAAAAAAAAAAGGAAGAGAACACAAACAACTTGAACCGGTTGGTGACACTTTGCTGAACTCCAAGGGGGGTGATTAGCAGTTTGGGGCGGGGAGTCACCRGAATGCCAATCTGAGACCTACGTGGGCTGCTCCCGCTCTCGCCCCCCGCAGGACAGAGGCGCTGAGAGATCAAAATTCAACCAGGCTCCCAACAACCACAACCTCACAGCAGAAAGAAATTTGGGCAAGGGAGGGCTAAGAGCGCTGCTGCCACCTCGACTGTGCCACCCTTGCGCCACCAGCGCCCTGGCCCAMGGTGCCACGTCCCGGCCTCCGTCCCCACCCTAGGACGTGGGCACATCTTCTGGAAGCCAGAGGATTCGCTCCCTTGCAGGCGCCCCTGGTGGGCCACACCTCGGACCAGGGCAGGGAAGGGGCAGTTAGAGCGGTTGGTACAGTTGCCCCACGGACTGGCCCCCCAGAACCAAGCCCTGGCCCGGTCCGGCGGAGCCTCAGATACAGCTCCCGAGCCGGTCAGGCTCCCCAGGGGAAGGCCTCGGCGCCGCCTGCCTGGCTCCGGCCCCTCGGAGCAGCCCCGCACAGCAGACTCACCTCCAATATGTCAACAGCGCATGTTCGCCGCCGCTCGACCGACGTCTCTGCACCGCTGGCCTGGCCAGGCCCGCCCAGCCGCTCAGCTCCGCTCCTCTCGGCAGCCCTGAGCTCCACTCCACGCACCTCCGCGCCCGGCTCCTCCCCGACACGTCAGGGTCTGCCTGAGTGTCCGAGGCCATTCTGTGACGCACGGGGGCGGAGTTCGGAGCATGCGCAGGAGTATACAGGCGTGCTGGGCGGGGCTGTGGCAAGGCTGGCGTCAAAGGGGACTGCCCGATCCCGGCGCGCTGACGTCAAGTCGGCGGTTCCTGCTGCGCAGGCTCTTTCGCACCCTGTGAGTGGTGGGTTTTAGGGCGCTGCGGTTTCCAGAGACTGTGTTACTGGGGAAAATGGTGCCCTAGGGAACTGAGAGAGGGTAACGGGGCGGAGCAGGTTCTAGCTCAGAAAGGAAACACATAAAGATGAACAACTGCTCAAGAAGTGGAAGCTTAAAGGAAGAAAGCCGTTTTAAAAACAACTTTAGGAACTTTTGCTGCACTATGTATAATGCAATTCAAATTTTAATGCTCTTAGGATTGGTTTTGTGGGATTTCTGGAAACAATAAAAACATGTAAGATACACCTCAAGGTGAGAGCAAGTTGAGCCTAGGAGGCCCAGTTATAATTTTGATAGAGACGGACGTAAACAGAATCAATTTAAGAGGGATTATAAGAAGTACCTAAATCAGTGAAGATGAAAGAAAGGGTTGAAGAGGTTTGTGGATAGGATAGCACCTTGAACTGGACTCTGAAGGATATAGGGCTGAAACAAGTGACAATAGTAACTCACTATTGTTGCTCAGTTTGTATATACTAGCAATTGTGCTAAGCACTCAGTCAGCATTATTTAATCAACACAATGACCCCATGAGATAGGTACCTTATTCCCATTTTACAAATGAGGAAACAGACTCAGCAAGATGAAGCTGCCCAAGGTCAACTAGAAAGAGGAGCATTCAAAACTCAAGTTCACCCAGACTGAATTTTTAAACTCCATAAAATACTATTTTCCATTACTATACTGCCGAGGAAATATTAATAATACCATTTGCWGGGCTAGAGCTAAGTGCTTTACATACGTCACCTCTCTCAATCCTCAAAACAGGCTGTAGTTATTACCCTCATTTTAAATATTGTAAAATGAGACCCGGAATTTCTGAAGTTTAAACCCAGAAAGTTCTTATTCCCAAGGCCAGTGACCTAGGACATTCTGGAAGCTCACTCAGTTTCTGGGGCTCTGCTTCCCTAGCTGAAGTTCCGCTCTGGCTGATGAGATCACCAGGCAGGGAGGTGATTAATGAAGGCTTTCCTGTAGTCCTGGTGCCAAGGCGGAACAGTCCCACCCCAAGAGGAAAAAATAAAGGCTACAGCTTTTGTCCCTGCCTCCTGGCTGAGGTGGTAGGAAATGCACTGAGTCACCTAATGGCAGGTTAGGCCCCTCAGAAAATGTTGGCCTCATCTTGCAAGCCATGGTCACTCCCACATAGCCTGGACCTAGAACCACGGGTGTTTATTAGGATGGATGTGTTGATACCATCTTAGTGAATGGGCATTGTGTGGCAAAGCTCTCAAGAGTCTTGCACTGATCTCCTTCCTCCAGGCTGGTTGATATTTCTCTGTGGGAGATGCACCCTGGGGCTGAAGATGGTAAATAACATTCAGAACCTTTGCCCCACCCCCTGCTTCCAATATGCCAAATCCAAGAAAATAAAGCACAAAGGAAGATGGAAAGCAGCCTCAAAAGGAAGAAGTTTAAAAATCAGCCTTGTGAAGGTGGTAAAGGTAAATGAGGGCTGTCCCACCCTTCTACCTTCACAAACCATTAAGAAGTGTTTGCTGAGGTCTTTCTTGCRCATTGAGCCAAACATCACAGTCCTGAGAACATGCACAATCATCTCACTACCTTTACAGCCACAGACTCTGAGATACAGGAATCAGAGACCAGTGGAGACTGACCATGTCATAGGGAAGGTATGGGATACAAGACCAAACTTTAGCTAATGAGGATGCTGGACTGTGGCCACATCACATACTCACAAAAGGTGATACAGTGCACATGGACCTGCTATGAAAAAACTGAGGAGATGAGATGAATTTAACCTTCCATTGGATCACATGAATAAAACACCTCAAAATCAGGGCCTTGATTCAACCTAATCTGTTTCCTTCGCCAGCATTTTTTGCTAAGTGTTAAAGCTAGGCAAGGGACACTCAATGGCTAGCTGGTTGCCAAGGTCTTCTGTATATGCCTACCAGATGTTCTACCACCACCTCCATTTTTTATATGTCTAAATCCCAAACAGCATCCTTTGCTTCCATTGAAATTTCCAAAACAATTTTTATTTCTGTCAATGGTGCTATTATTCTCTCAGTCACTGAGGCACAAAGCTCTCCTCAAATCGCCCTTAATTATCTGCTCCCCCTTCCCCCCACCACCTTTCATTTCACTCATGTGTTCACCAAGCCACAATGACTTCCCCTTCAAAAACTCTCTCAAATCCATTCATTTCCCAGTTCCTTGCTCCTGTATCTTCCTGAGTCTTCTTTCCCAAATTTTTCTCCAGGGAATTTTTTCTTGTTCCAGCCCAGGAAGCCACAGATAGCCATCAGAATAGTGTTTCTAAAATCCCGTGGTATGAAGAGCATCCCTAGGTCTAGAACTTCTTTTAGCATCTTAATTTTGTGATAAAGTATTACTGGCATTCAAGGTCCCCAAAGCAACTCAAACCCACTTTTGCAATCTACATTCTAYAGCTCACCTATGTGGTTCTAACCAGAGATGGAAGGTTCCTTTCCTCTCTGGGCCTATGACAGGCCCAGAGTCAATATGACATTGACTCCCACTTCACCATGCACTATGGCTACTCCCTGGGCTTGGCCAGTCACTTATCCTTCAGCCTTTTGAAGACTCACTCATATGCTAACTCTTCCAGAAAGGCTTCCTGAACTTCCTATTCAAAACCACAAAGTGAGCATTCCTTCCTCTGAACCCAAAAAAGTGTAGACCTTCATACTTCACAGAAGACCTTTTGGACAAGGAGGTTTCTCCCCCAAGAAACCAAAACCCACTGAGTGCAGGGAGTTGTTGATTGTCCTAATATCCCCTCAGCAAAAATAGGCCCTTTGCAAACATGCATTTAATATGCTCCAATGAAGCGAAAGAATGAGTCAATGATTTGGTGGCTCAAACTTGAAATGCAAGACTGACAGAACTTTCTTGACAATTCCCCCAAATCCTGGGGGTGGGGGTGGGGCAATAAATTTTAACTTATGTGAAAGGCTGAACTCTGGTGATTCCAGGCTATAAAAAGGAACTGGGATTTGGGTCATAAGCAATTATATCTTTTCTAGAGCCCAAATCTTAAATCCTAAAGCACTTATACCACCTATAGTCCCCAACACAATATAGTTTGTTTTTGTAATATTAAAAAATAATAATAATGATGTTAGTTATTTTGAATATTAAAAAAAAATATTAACTTGAAGACCAGCATGGTGGTGCATGCCTATAATCCTAGTAAGTCAGGAGGCTGAGGCAGGAGGATAACAAGTTAAAGGCCAGCCTTGGCAACTTCTTGAAACCTTGTCTCAAAATAAAAAAAATAAAAAGGTCTGGGGATGTAGATCAGTGTTAGAGCACTCTGAGTTAAATCCTTAGTACACACCCTCCGAGTACACACATAAATACACATACACACTTAGACCTTGAGATAAGAAGTGATTTTAGAAAAAAAAAAAATCTGTCATTCACAGCTATAAATTTAGTGCTTGCTAGAGGCACTGTTCTAAACTTTTGAAGATTCAACCATAACTTTAAAAGGCACTTCTCCTCCCCACCCACAGAGATTGTCTAATGGTGAAGGCAGACAATAAGCAAATAGACAAATTTATTCTGTTGGGTCAATTTATTCTTCTTGTGTCAAGAAAAATAACCAAGGTCAAAAAACAAGATGAGGCAAAGATTGCTTCCTGAGTGAAAATAGAGCTTAATGTTCATGGGATTTTTTTCCTCTCTCAAGTTGTCAAGGCCCTTTTTAATAAAGGCCTGCAACAGAGATCTGAAACTAAAGAAGAACATAACAAATATGTGCAGATGCCTTAAATAGACAAACATAGTTTTTCATCATAGTGCCAGCATAGAGCAGGCATTCAATATATATTGGTTGGAATAATGACTGACTAGACAGTCTAAAAAATGCTAGAACCTTTAGGTGGATGATAAATTTCCCCTTCCAGATTTTGATTGGCAGCCAGTTCATATTTGATTCAGAAATTTCCACTTCTAGTTTGTCCCTAATCCTTGGCCATGAAGAGCCCAGCCTAGAGTATTCCTATACCACTTCAAAGGGAAAGAAAGTTCCATATGTCATCTTTATTGCATCCTCAGTACCTTCTTGACTAAATGACATTCRCCAACCCACCCTCCCAAAGCAGCTCAGGCTCCCCAGTCTCAGCTCATCCATCAAAATTTATCCCTTCAGCCAGATGCAGTGGCACACAACTGTAATCCCAGCGACTTGGAAGGCTGAGGCAGAAGAACCACAATTTCCAGGCCAGCCTCAGCGGTTCAGCAAGACCCTAAGAAACTTAGAGAGACCTTGTCTCAAAAAGTAAAAAAAGGGTGGGGATGTAGCTTAGCGGAAAGCATCCCTTGGTTAAATCTCCATTTCAAAAAAGTGGGACTGGGGATGTGGTTCAAGCAGTAGCGTGTTCGCCTGGCATGCGTGCTGCCCGGGTTCGATCCTCAGCACCACATACAAACAAAGACGTTGTGTCCACCGATAATTAAAAAAAATATATTAAAAAAAAATTCTCTCTCTCTCTCTCTTTAAAAAAAAAAAAAAAGAAAGGAAAAAGTGGTCTCCTCAGTTTTAGACTGCAGTTGGCTGTAAGTTAACAGAAAGGCAGGAATTGGGTGGAGATGGATTTTATGTGTGGTGTTTTAGGTTGCAAACCTCCTTCCTGTTTCTTCCCCTTTCCACCATGTCTGTCTGAGAATCCCACCTGCTTCTGGCCCTTGCACCCCTTACCAGAAAGGTGGTTTACCCTCTGCAGGCTTCCAGATGTAACCTGCTGCAAGATAGCTCTCAGAGGTAAGAAAAATGAGCACACAATTTGGGTGGAACCAGTTAACAGGCCTTCCTATCAAGGTCCTGCCCTGGTTGCCTGTATCTAGAAGGAATAACTGAAGTCTCAAGGGTCTCTGCCCAGTCTTTTCTATTTATTGAAAACTGATATCCTGCCGCACACACAAATCTCCTGAAGTTGGTCCTGAATTCTGCCCCAGTAGCCTACCTGATTGGTGGACTTCCTCCAGATCAGGAGCCTTGTGGTTTTCCTGGCTCCAGAACCTCCGTTCTCCCAAACCTCGGTTTCCACTGTC